TCCTGCTGTTCCAGATGATGACCGTATACCCACTTTTAGGCTACTTGGCTCGAGTCCAGCTATTGGGCCATATCTTCGGTGACATTTATCCTAGGTAAGGGCTCTTCTCTTGACCAGCAGGATGTGCCAAGCAACAAATGACTGTGCAAACAGGTCAGTTTAAAGTATGACTGATCTTTTTGCTATAAAAATTTGCCTAATGAAAGCGGTTACTAAGGATAGATCATTGGTATCCTTTTCCCCGAAGAGCTTTAAAAATAGAAACCACTCCCTTGTCTAGAATGATTTAAAGTTCTTTCCTCTCAGTATAATTATATTAGCTCTGATGCTAGTTATATTTATCTTATGATTTAGCTGCTATTAATCTACACATGGCCAAGAAGTTTATAGTATATAGTACATGTGTTGGCAATGTGTGGCTAATGAAAAGCAACACTTTTAATTAGTCATTGATACTTATCGTATACTTATTAACATGTGTGCTTTTGACATGTTGTTGAGAATTGAAGGTAAGATATATGATGAGTATAAATTTGTGTTTGATATTATAATAAGCTTAAATTACTGCTATAATATTTAATCTCTTATTGAGGATGGAAGTATGTGAGTGCCTTTGAAAATCTGTTCAAAGCTAGTTATCCTCATCCAAGAGAAATTTCCATGTATTGTTTTGGGGTTTCTCTGAACCCTTCCTGTGGCCCTCTGGTTAACTTACGTTAACTTCTCTCATTGTAGGTGCATCCTAGTGAAAAAGACCTAGTTGTATCTTATTGAGAATAAATTATCTTAAATGAACAAAACTTATGAATACAATTGGGGGGGCATTATTTACAATAACCAACAGGCTATCTTAATCCACTTTTATTTGAAATCAACTGATATGTTCTGTCCCCACAGTAAATAATTTTACCTATTGGACTGGCCTTGTAGTATAGCAGTTAAACTCTGTTCATAGGGAGCCGGATCCTACATGGCCAGCCATGTTTCAAAATACTTGGGTTATATGTGCATGTGTACCCAAAATCATGACAGAAATGGAGAAAAAAGAATTGCAGTATGACCACTCACCATGAGGGGGTACATTCTCTTTTTCCCTCTGGCAATAAATAATAAAAATTACCATTTTAGCTATAAATATGTTGGTTTATAAGCAAAGCAAAAGTTGAGTTACTGGGTCGTTAGCATTGATAGCAGTTATAGTTCTAACTTAGTTAATCTAGGAGATTAGAGTTCAAGAAATATGACTCCTGTTATATTTATATTCTGTGCTATATTTATAATCACTAAAATAAAACATACAGTAAAGCCAAAAATGAAAAATTATAGGCAAATGTATTACTTCTATTTTCTGCCATTATTTGTAAAATGGTGGCTGTTAGGCCACACTGCAATCCCTTTTCTTCCATTCTCCTCTTGGGATTTGGGCCCACATGCACATTCACCCAGCATGATTTTTCAAGCCTCCAGGTCCAGGAGTTGAACCACACAGTCAGCCATGTGAAATCCAGCTGCCTTAACCTGCATGCTACCTGCTGGCCTCAGTATTCTTTGATACTGCATTAAAACTCGACAAGTGGTAGTTTATTATTAATTACAATGCAGAATCTAAAACTTGGTTATATCTGTTACATCTAGAACCTATTTGTCTAACTTGCCCCTTAGCTCTTTCACCCCATGCATTATTTTGTATCATCTTGTTTAGTCATTTGTAAAATATTGGTTCACTGAGTTCTGAGGATCTTCCAAATGTTGATACATCTCATTATACAATATCAAAACCTATGTTTGCTAATATCACCACTGATTTTATCATTAAAGTTTTTAAATATTAGAAAATTATCAAGCTCAGGGTGGCAAAAACAGAAGTCCCCCTTATCCACACTTGATTGAAGTTTTGGTTAGAGTGATTAACCTTGGCCCAAGAATTATTATTAAATTGTTGGAGTCAGCTGGTGGTGTGGTGGTGAAGGCCCTGGACTCCCACATGGCTGACCATGGTTTGAGTCTTAGACCTGGTGACTTGCTTTCTCATTTTCTCTCTCTCTCTCTTTGGTACCCACACGTGCCCTATAGCAAATTAAATAATAATACTAATTTTAAAAATTAAATAATTCCAAAAAATAAATTATAAAATGGAAAATTTCAGAAATATCAATAAGTTCTAAATCACATGCTCCTCTCTGAGTAGCATGATGAAATCTCAGGACATCCTACTCCATCTTTCCCTGGACATAAATCATCTCTTTGTCCAGCGTATCCATGCATTTACACTTAGTAGCCTTTAGTCACTTAATAGCCAAACTGCTTATCAGATCAAAAAAAAAAAAAAAAACACCCATTATATATATAGAATCCAATATTATGTGCAGGAGTCCTCGACACTCCCCGGGGGGGGGGGGGGAGTCTTATTCCCCTTCTCCCACCTCAGCAGATAAGTGTGGACTACTATACAGTTCTCCAAAATTCTAATTATTATTTGAAGCTCAAATTTTATCACTGACAGCAAATAATGCCAGTCATTTTTTGTTTTTTGGTTTTTTTGAGGGGAGAGGTTTTTATTATGTGTGCATGCACTCTCCAGACAGAGAGAGACAGAAAGTGAGAAATCACCTCCCAGGGAGGATGGCCATGCCACAATCCCTTCTCCACCATTCTTCTCTCAGGATCTTGGGCACGCATGCACACGTGGCTCCCAGCATGAGTTTTAAGTCGCCAGGTCCAGGACTCGAACCACGGTCGACTACATGGGAGTCCAGCGTCATAGCCATTAGACCAACTGCTGGTTCCCCAGTTTTTCTTGAAGTGACAAGCTCATTATGCATTTTCAAGAAAATGTCTGTCACATGTCGGCACTTGAATAGGCTTAGCTTCTCTACACATCAAGTAAAAATAGCATTTGATGGGAAAAACAGCTATGTCAGCCTTCATCTCAGCTGCACAAGTACTTTCCCTCAAGATAACCATTATACTTTGTTGTGCCATAGATGTGCTTTGTTATGGATTTTCCATTTGATCCCATAGGATGCTGGCTGAGCGCTGTATGTGCTGCTTTGGAGGCAGGCTATATGGGAGGTCTGATTTCCAGCCTACTGTAAAAATTAGTCCCAGCTACTTGGGAAGTTAAGGCAGAAGGATCATGACATAGCAAGACCCTGTCTGAACCACCACCACCACCACACACATGCACACACACACACAAGATTAAAAAGATGTGTATTCAAACCATGAGATTGACTAAAACTAATATTTTTCTCCTTTATCAAGGACATTTTTTAGTAAAACTTGATTTTTCTTTTGACAGTTTGGCAGTGAAGAATACAGCAGAGAATACAGATCAGTACAATTGCCTTGACCTAAACTAAAGGGCTAGCAGTTTTACCTACCACTGCTTTTGCAAAACAAATAGTGTCTTATACTATTATGAAAATAATTTTTACCTCAGGGACTTCCTGAAAGAGTATTGGAAAAACCCCTGGGCTTTGTGGTCACACTCTAAGAACCACTACTTTGGAAAAGCACACAAAGTTGTTTCCTTTTACAATACAGAAGTTACAGAGGCCCAGCCAATGTCTTCTCGAAGCTCTAAGGCAATTTTTTTTTTTTTTGAGAGGTTTTTGCTATAGGGCGTGTGCGCTCGCCAGACAGAGAGAGACAGAGAGACAGAAAGCGAGAAATCACCCCCCAGGGGGAATGGTCACGCCGCAATCCCTTCTCCTCCATTCTCCTCTCTGGATCCTGGGCACGCACGCACACGTGCCCAGCGTGAGTTTTAAGTCACCGGGTCCGGGACGCAAACTGCAGTCGACTACGTGGGAGTCCAGCAACATAGCCATTACGCTAACTGCTGGTTCCCGCTCTAAGGCATTTTTAAAGTTGGGATTTCTGGATAAATACTAAGATCTGGAAGGCTCTTATCTTTGTAATGCATCAGGATGTATGGCTCACCCCTTAGTTGTATAAATATTTTTTCTAATTTCTAATTCTGTCTGTAATCTTTATATGGGATTAATTAACCTCTGATAACTCAGGCACAAGGAGTTGCTTTGACATGTATATCTGGCTTTCGAGAATAATTTTTTGGAGAAACGGAGTTATTAAAAATTGAATTTCATCCATATTATTTTTGTCTCCAAAATGATTCTCAAACCTTGAATTGTTAACATTTAAAGTATGTAATTAATACAGTCTATTCATGGTAAATACTGAATAGCTCTAAGTGGTTAAATACAAAAAAAATGAGCTGTCCGTTTTGCCTTTCCCTCAATATAATTTACTTTTCTATTACAAAAATAAAATAACTTTACAAAATGTATAGAAAGAAATATTACCTGTGATCCCAAATTATAATCCAATTACCACTGCCTTTTCAGTGTATTTTCTTCTGATATTTTTCTAGTTTGGGATTTTTCTTGTGTAGTAAACATCGACCGAGCTTCCCCGCAACCCACATTGTCTAGATGGTTTTATACCATATTGGTAATAATAAGTTATTTTTAAGAAGTTTTTTTAAATTTATTTTTCTTATTTTTTTCTTTCCCTGTTTTTTGTTTGTTTGTTTTTACTAGCTTTTTGTCATAGGACTCATGCATTTACTGGAGAGAGACAGTGAGAAATCATCCCCCACAAGGGATGGCCATGCCACCGCCTCCTGTGATCTTGATCTTGGGCATGCATACACATGTACCAGGTGTTATTTTCAAGCCACCAGATCTGGGACTTGAACCACAGTTGGCCATGTGGGAATTCAGCATGTAAACCACCACACCACCTGCTGGCCCCCTTAAATAAGATTTAATATATTCTGTCAAGTAAGTTGTCTTGCCATATTTAGGATTTTTCTTTCTTTCCATAAATATCTTTATGTTAATAGCTTTTCTCATGATTTTGATTATTTTCTTATGCCAAATGGAATTATATTAGGTCATTGGAAAAGTCATGATGCAGTTTTGCATAGAAAATACGTCATGACTTTTCCATGACTTAATGGATTAAAGATGTGAACTTGGGTACACTCTATTAGTTTGATCCTACGTAATTTAACTTACTTACATTACTGTATAAAAGGGCTAGTTTTACTGTCTCATTACCAACATTAAGAATTATTTTGGGGACCAGTACATGGTTAAGGCGCTGGATTCCCACATGGTCGACTACTGTTCAAGTTCCAGACCTGGTGGCTTGCTTTCTCACATACACTATAGTAAACTTAAAACAAATAATAATAATAATAAAATAAATACTTTTTAAAAGAATTGTTTTATTTAGCTTTGTTAATTTTAATTTTACCAGAGAGGGAGAGAAAGAAAGAGAGAAAGTGAGAAAGCAAGCCACCAGGTCTAGGACTCGAACCATGGTCTGCCATGTGGGAGTCCAGCTCCCCCAACCACCATGCCACCTGTTGGCTCCATAAATAAAATAAATACTTTTTTAAGAAACAGATTTTGTTGGAGACCAGAAGTCAGTGTAATGGCTATGTCACTGGACTCCCATGTAGTTGACCACAGTTTGAGTCCTGGACACCACGGCTTAAATTCATACCGAGCACGTGTGCGTGCATGCCCAAGATCCCGAGAGGAGAAGGGATTGCGGCATGGCCATCCCCCCTAGAGGATGATTTCTCGCTTTCTGTTTCTCTGTCTCTCTCTGTCTTTCTGGTGAGCACATGCGCACTATAGCAAAAACTTCTCAAAAAAAAAAAAAAGAAAAGAAACATATTTTGTTGTCTATTTTTTCTGTGCTTTTTATTGTCAGACTTAAGATATTCTCATTTTAAGGTGTTAAATGTAAATTTTATTCTGTTAGTGGTTATAATTTGCCTATTTTTACATTTTTTTCTTTCCTCCATACTTCTCTATTTCTAGCATTTTCCACGTGTTGATTCTTAATCTAATTATAGTGGGAGCTGGAGTGATCATGGCCTGTTTCTACCCAAACATAGGAGGGATCATAAGGTACTGCCTGTAAGAAAATTGCACCCCTTTGTATATTGGTCTAATTTTCAGGCTTTTCCTGTTGTTGTTTTAACTTATTCGAATAAAATTCCTGTGAATATAGATGTTCTTTGACTTAAGATAGGGTTATATCCCAATAAACCCATTGTAAATTGAAAATATACTGTCAAAAATACTGTAAGTCAAACATTTCTCTAATACATCTAATTTACTGAACATCATAGCTTAGCCTCTCCTACCTTAAGTATGATCAGAACTCTTACACTGGCCTACACCTAGACCTTCACCAGTCCACTTCCCCTGGGGACACCTGTAAAATGCCAATGCCTTGGGCCCCGTTTCTTAAAAAAAAAAAAAAAAGAAAAGAAACATATTTTGTTGTCTATTTTTTCTGTGCTTTTTATTGTCAGACTTAAGATATTCTCATTTTAAGGTGTTAAATGTAAATTTTATTCTGTTAGTGGTTATAATTTGCCTATTTTTACATTTTTTTCTTTCCTCCATACTTCTCTATTTCTAGCATTTTCCACGTGTTGATTCTTAATCTAATTATAGTGGGAGCTGGAGTGATCATGGCCTGTTTCTACCCAAACATAGGAGGGATCATAAGGTACTGCCTGTAAGAAAATTGCACCCCTTTGTATATTGGTCTAATTTTCAGGCTTTTCCTGTTGTTGTTTTAACTTATTCGAATAAAATTCCTGTGAATATAGATGTTCTTTGACTTAAGATAGGGTTATATCCCAATAAACCCATTGTAAATTGAAAATATACTGTCAAAAATACTGTAAGTCAAACATTTCTCTAATACATCTAATTTACTGAACATCATAGCTTAGCCTCTCCTACCTTAAGTATGATCAGAACTCTTACACTGGCCTACACCTAGACAAAATCATTAAATGCAAAGCCTATTTGTAAGTGTTTTTACACGAAACCTATCTTACAGTAAAGTGTTCCATATCTCATGTAATTTATTCAATACTGTTTTGAAAGTGAAAAGCAAAATGGTTGTATAGGTACCCCAAGTATGGTTTCTACTAAATGTGTTTTACTTCCACACCATCATAAACTCAAAATATCCTAATAACCATCATTAAGTCAGGAATCATATTTAAAACTGGTAACATTCAAATGTAATTCCTTGATATGGGTTAAGGTACTCGTTATCTCCCGTACTGTTTATTGCTGGTAGAGACCGACCCCAGAAGCGCCATTATCCCTTAGGTTCAGTCACCTTTCTCTTTTTTATTTTTTCTAATCCTCTCCTACCATACTTTCTTTCTCTTATCCAAATTAAAATATTATTTTTCATACGCAACAAATAACTTTTTAGGAGTACCTAGGAGGTCCTTCATATGTCAAGGCTATGTCCTAACTTCCTCTGTCCATTTCTATTTAGAAACATATTTTAGTGTCGGTTGAAACCAGAAAGTAAGAATGTAAACAAGAGTTTAGATCCCAGATGGCTCTTTCTCTTTATCCTTTCCTGAAGATTTGTAATGAGAGTACAGTTGTCACCTTAAATTCTCATGAAAAACAGGGATTTAGTATGATCCAGCTTCTCTACTTTAGTATAGATGCAGAACTGAGTCACTTTTTTTTGAACACTCTTACCTAAGAAAGAAACAAGTAACAAAAGGGGAGATTATTGGCCTGCTGCTTATTGAACAGAATGGATTTATGAGTTTCTGTTAAGCTGTTCCTCAAGAAAACCTGAGTATAAAGAAAGAGAAGAAAAGGCATGTTCCTCTGTCATAGTGTCATGCTTGGGAATTTTTATTATTTTTTTGTAATTATGCCGAATGCCATGGAGATAATCATCTGTTCTCATTCTTCAACAGATACTAACAGTCTCAAAAAATGAGAATGTGTAATTAGTTTAGGAAAGATCAAAGGTAGGAAGCCTATCTCCAGATGTTTCCCAAGAAGTAACCACAATCACTAGACAGAGAGGAACTGCGGAACTTGAGGAATGAATAAAAACTCTTTGTCAAGCAGATGCTATAAGGATGAGCAGGAAATAATATATTAACTTAACAAGTGAAATAAATTTTAAACCCAAATAATTTATGTCAACACAAATGAATCAAAATTAATTCCTACAATGTCAGATTGACAAAGATATAAATTACACTGTATTTATTTTAATAACAAATCAGCAAAAGTAAAATGCAGGATGAATATTGACCCCAAAAGCTTTTATTTTGCAGATATTCAGGAGCAGCATGCGGCCTGGCCTTTGTATTTATATATCCATCTCTCATCTATATCATTTCCCTCCACCAAGAAGAACGTCTGACATGGCCTAAATTAATCTTTCACGTTTTCATCATCATTTTGGGGCTGGCTAACATGATCGTTCAGTTTTTTATGTGAAATACTCAACTGTTTTCTCAAGATCTTCCATGGTATTTTGAACCTTGACAACAGTACTACATAAATTCACTTGTAAATGCTGTCGTTGTATAATTCTAAATGTTTTTCTAAGATCATTTGAAAGTAAAGCTAATAGTCACTCATTAATAAGTGCGTTTAGAGTGGGGAAAGGGTCAGTAAGAGGGATCTCAGTCTTTACCTTTCTTAGATTCATTCACTTCTGTCTTCTCATTGTCTTTTCTGAGTTGAAATGTATGCCCTAGGAAAAATCATGCTGGGTTTTGCTTTTAAAATATACAGCATGTTCAGCCATGGTGGTATAAATGATAAGCCACCACTGCATGAAGCTGGGCTTCATGGAAGGCCCTGGTTCTCTTTCCCAGACCAGCCTAAAAACAGGCTAGTCATAGCAGTACTTACCTATAATGGGGCAGGAAGATTGAAGCTGGTGAGACCCTGTAGAAAATAACCTCTACCCCTTCTACCTCTCCCTTTCTTTCTCTTCCTCTGTCCCTTCCTCCCTCCCTTCTTCCTTTTCTTTCTTTCTCTGTCTCCCCAATCTTTTTTTTAAAAAAGGGAAGAAACAAACAAGGTGGGTGAATTTATTTTGGCTGCAATAAAGATTCTCAGGGTGTCAGAGCAGTATTTTGTATATCCTGTTTCTGTTTTATTCATTCAGGGTGTTCACTTTTACTTTCTTGCTTGTTAGACCATTTCTGCAATGTGCCCGAACCTCTCCTGGTTGGGACAGTAAACCAAATACCTCATTTTTTAAAAGACGTTTTTATTGCATTAGTACTAATAGAGTGAATTCTTAACTGAATCTATAATTTCTAGTTGAAGAAAAAAAGTGTCAGCCTAGATTCTATGGCCATTAAATGTATGCAAAATAAATAAAGTAGGAGCGTGTGTTGTTGTCTGATTCCTCTTTTATTTATAATCCAGTATCAATGACTTAGACTGAAATTTTTCTCAAGCCAGATTTTGCATTGAAACAAGAGCTATTGTCCCCATGGACCAACAAAAGCTTTGTGGACCACTGAGCACTGCCTAGACTGTCATGGCAGACCTAGT